AGGTGTATGGTGGGAATTAATTATGATGAGGTAGGGAAATTTGCAACACCCTAAATATACCCCCGCATAACATAAATAAAAATTAGAGTTTATTTCACAAAATCATATTTAGGATGCCGCCATCTAACAAAACCTGCTCAAATACATGACATGCAACGCATTAACTTTTATTAAAACAGCGGAAACATCAACAAATAGTTATTCAAAACATAAGCACGGTATTCAACTAATTAAAATAATAAATGTTAGGAGATATCCAAAATCTCAAGCAACCAAAACATAAGAAAAATATAACGTTCCATAACACTAGAGTTACATATGAGAGCAGACGCCAAACTAAAAGAATAACTGAAAGACTCCAGCTTCCGCTCATATCAACTCTTCTATTACGAATTATCTGCACGATGCCCATGAAAAGTCAACATTCAAACAAAAGGGGTGAGATATCACAATTAAATAAAGGAATGCATAATAATAAGTGAGCAACAAATTATTACAAGTACAACATACATTCCAACAACATATTCCACACCACCAACACAACGACACCACACAAATACAATGCAACGAGACTCAACAATTTGACTCAATGCATGTGGTACCGAAATGTGAACTCTCAGGTTCACCGCTCTGATCCCCACCTAAAATCGAAGCTCACCAAATGGACCTCTATCCAAAATCGTTACCAAGTAACGCTTCACTAATTCATCACCATAGAAATTAGCTACTCACACCCAATCCACACAATGGTATTGAGGCTCACCCAAAACTCATTACCATCACCATAGGTAACGCTTCACTAATTGCATCACCATAGAATTATCTACTCGCACCCAATCCATCACCCTAGGATTGAGGCTCACAGACCACTGTCCAACATCATGAATGCATGCAACATATTATGCATACAACACAACAACATGCACAACGACCTTCATCATAGTCAATGTACCTCGCCATTACTGGCCACCATGCACCAAACACCTGCCAAAACATGCAGCAACAACAACACAATGATATAACAAGCAATAACAATGCATTTGCACACGTTTCACAAAACATCATAAACTCACTATGCATCAAATACATGCTCACATATCAAATAATTTGAATTTTGGTACTAGAAATAATTTTAAGTTAAAGTACATTACACCAGATTTTCAACGCTTCAAATGGTGTGTCAATCGGACACCCGAGACTAAAGTTATGAATTTTTGAAGTTTTTACAAAATTCTCGACACAACGATGTAACGAGTTACATCAGCCATGTAACCGGTTGCATCAGTCCCAGAAGTATAAATACCCAGTTTTTCTTTGATGTAACCAGTTACCTCAACCATGTAACTGGTTACATCACCCAAAATTCTCAAAAAACACGTTTTCAATGTAAATCGGTTACCTCAACCATGTAACCGGTTACATCACTGACAGAAGCACTTTTTTGCAAGTTTTTCAAAACGAAAATCACTTTAAGCCACCCAAAACCCTATTTTACTTACAAATTGTTTAGCTTATGTTTTAACACGAAATAATCACTTTTTAAAAAGGTTCAAACCCCAAATATTATTCACCAAAAACGCCCATAACTTAGTTCCGACGTTGACTCACAACCACACACAACAACACAACATCCACAACATCAAACAAATCACCAATCTCAAGATTTCAACAACAATAATTGTATCAATGTATCATTCTAACATCAATTACAGTAACAACATCAACATACATCATGCGATTCAACAACAATTTTATAAATCACACAATCAATCAATCATCAAGAACATGGATAGAGAAGAAAACACAAACCCTACATGTTATGATCTATCCATCATTCATCATGTAATCTCTTAGATAATTAGAATCCGACCCTTACCTTTGAGTTCTTGCACAAGAATTCTTCTACCTCAACAATGGCTCTTCTCTTCCCCTTTGCTCAAGCTCTCCTCTTTTTCTTTTCCTCTAAAACACGTACCGACAAACTCCCTTCTCAAATCCCCCTCATATTATTATTATTATTATTATTATTATTATTATTATTATTATTATTATTATTATTATTATTATTATTATTATTATTATTATTATTATTATTTATTTATTATTATTATTATTATTATTATTATTATTATTATTATTATTATTATTATTATTATTATTATTATTATTATTATTATTCCCTTCCAAATAAACAATAACAAATAATAGTAATAATACTAATTATTTAATTTAAATAATATTCACCTAATATTATTCAAATAAATAATTACTAATTAGTTACTAACCACACCACCGAGTTCTACACTATTGGTCACACACTCCCAACTATCTCCTCAGGGTCTAGTCTTAAGGTCACTACCCCATACCAAGGGTATCTCCAAACACAACAAAATACACATAATCGCATGCCTATACACATATCTCATAATTTTAATTATGAAAAATAATTAAATTAAAACGGGGCGTTACAGAATTAAAATGAAGTGATTTAGAATATTCTCATGATGAAACATTTGAATTTGGTGCCAAAAATGCTGCAGAATTTGAATTTGCCCAATTTTCACAAAATGCGCACAGGGTAATCGATTGCCCTAATGTTGGTAATCGGTTACCACAGTCAAAAAATGTGAAAAATTGCCTTTTTGATGTGTTGTCTTGGCTCTGACTCGATTCTTTTGCTTGTCAAAGAAGGCATGGAAATGAACATATGAACCTTGGATTCTCTTGAATAAAAGTCAATCAAATCTTGGGAGACCCTTGATCAGATGATTTTGAATTGTTTTACAGATCAACTTTGACTTTTTTCAGATGAAATTCACTCGAGCTGAGGGACTAGTATTTGATATCCTTGATCCAAATTCTTCCTGAAAAAGTTAGTAAAGGAAAAACAAACACACATTTTTTTAGATTTTGAATAACGGTTAGTAAATATAAACACAAACAAATATCAAACAAACAAGAAAACAAGGGTGCCTGGTGATCTCTCAAGAATAAACACACAGAGGAAGGCAAGATAACCAATGTTATGGGTGATTGTTCTGACTTCATACAGGCTAAAAGAGACATTAGACAAGGTGATCCCATACCGCCTTTGTTGTTTGTCCTCATAATGAAGTATTTGAACAGATTAATGTACAAGATGCAAAGAGATTCTAATTTCAACTATCATGCCAAGTGTGAGAGTGTGAAGCTAACTAATCTCATTTTTGCAGATGATGTCCTTCTTTTTTGTAGAGGTGATGTTATTTCTATGCAAATGATGCTGAAAGTTTTAAAGACCTTTTCTATGTCCACAGGTATGGTGATGGATTCTAGCAAACGCAAGATCTATTTTGGAGGTTTGGGCAGGGGTAGTAAAGAGGTTTTGAGGGATGTGTCTGGTTTTCAAGAGGGTACTCTCCCTTTTAAGTACCTAGGTGTTCCCCTTTCAAGCAAGAGATTGACCATTAATTATTTCATGCCTTTGGTGGATAAGATTGTGGCTCGTATTCACCACTGGTCTTCAAAGTTGCTCAGTTATGTAAGTATAATTTAGTTGGTGAAGATCATTACTTAGTCCATATCTCAATACTGGATGCATTGTCTCCTTATTCCCAAATCTATGATCAAGAAGATAGATTTAATTTGTAGAAGCTTTGTTTGGATAGGAAAATAGAGTTTGAGCAAGAAGAGCCCTGTGGCGTGGATGAAGGTGTGTTGTCCTATTAGTCAAGGAGGGTTGCAGCTGCTCAACCTCAGTGTTTAGAATGAAGTTCTGTTACTAAAGTGCCTTTGGAATCTCTGTTGTAAATAAGATAATATGTGGGTGAAATGGATTCACACATATCATCTCAAAGGTGTTCATGTGATGGATTATGTGATCAATCCACATAACTCTCGGATGATGCAAGCTATTATGAACCAAAGAGGGAAAGTGTTGATTTTGCAAGATGAGTGGAATAAAGCTCTGCATACATAGAATTTTAAAGCTTCTAATTTCTACAGGATTCTTATTGATGATGGTCAAAGGGTGTCTTGGAGAAAGCTTATTCTCTACAACAAAGCTAGGCCAAAAGCTGTGCATTGCTTATGGCTTGTTTGCCAAGGAAAACTTGTGACCAAGGTTAGATTGAAGAGGTTTGGTCTTGTTTAAGACACCAACGGTAGTTTGTGCCACAATGGAGAGGAAAATCTTGATCACCTTTTCTTCTATTGTAGCAAAATCAAGCCTTTTTGAAAAGAAGTGTTACATTGGATGGATGTGATTCATGAGTCCAAATGCTGGACTGAAGAGCTGATTTGGGTTAGTGAAGTCACTAAGAGTAAAGGGTGGAAAGTGGACCTCATAAAAATGTTATTTGCTGAGACTATTTACTGTAAATGAAAGTATAGAAATGATATAGTGTTTGGTAATAGTGTGGATAATACAAAAATAGTCTCATTTATTATAGATAATGCAGAGGTTGGCAAAATAAAAAAATTAAAAGTCACCTATCTAATTTAATGATGTAAACTTAGTGTTTGGAGTGGTTAGAATCATTTTGGTCACTTTGATTGTATTGTTTTTTGAATTAATATATATTATTTTTTTTATTAAAAAAAAAGTTTGACAAAACATAAAACTCCATGATGAAATTACAAAGTTATTAACGAAGTAATTTCGAACACCTTGACTGCTAAAACTTTTAAAAGCCACGCGTTAAACATCTATGCAATAAACTGAAAAACTGGATTCTTGAGAAAATAGAGCCAATGTGAACTAATTCTTTCTCAGTCACACCCATAGCATGATGTGAGAGCAGCACCATTTTCCAAATCAAAATTTGACCAGGTTCACTGAACTCCTTTCAATTCCAACCCCCAAACATAGAATTTCTAAATGAAGAACAAAACCAACACACGTAACTAAAACGCAACACAACACAACACTAAAAAAATCACAGTTAGTTATTACTACTGCAACAAATATTCCATCTTGAATTTGCATTCTCCTCCCATTCAAATTTCAAACCACTGTTACCATGTCTAAATTCTCCGACTTCAAACCACTCAACGAAACCACCCTCATCGACTACATCAAAACCACCCCTACCCTCTCCTCCAAACTCCACAACAATTTCTCCGACATATCCATCAAAGAAATCGGAGACGGCAACCTTAACCTCGTCTTCATCGTTTCCAACTCCAACGGCTCTTTCATCATCAAACAGGCACTTCCTTATGTTCGTTTAGTAGGCGAATCATGGAAGATGACGAAAGAGAGAGCTTATTTCGAGTCACTGGCGTTGAAAGAAAAGGGGAAACTGTGTCCGGAACATGTGCCGGAGGTTTATCATTTTGATCGTGTTATGTCTTTGATTGGTATGCGGTATTTGGAGCCACCGCATGTGATTCTCAGAAAAGGATTGGTTGCTGGTGTTGAGTATCCTTTGCTTGCTGAACATATGTCTGATTTTATGGCAAAGACGCTCTTCTTTTCGTCTCTGATTTTTCGTTCTACCACTGAGCATAAACGAGACGGTAAGAACAACTTTCCCTTTTCATACCCTCAACATATTTGTAAAGTTGAATTAGACTTTACAAGTTAACTGTCATAACTGATTCATGTATGCGCTAATATTTTTCTCTAACACCACAGGTTCAGTATGCTGCAATCTGTTATAACCAAATTAGTTCTTATCTTGATTATCTATAATTAAGATGCTATGAGTTAGTATATCACCTAGTTTTTCCAGTCAAATCACAAGGTTCTTCAACATTATAATTACATATTGATGTTGCCAGTAGCTTTAACTCATGCTGTCTTTATGCAGTTGCTGAGTTTTGCGGGAACGTGGAGTTATGCAGGCTAACTGAGCAGGTCATTTTCTCTGACCCTTATAAAGTTTCTGAACATAATCGTTGGACTTCTCCTTATCTTGATCGTGACGCTGAGGCTATTCGGGAAGACAATTTACTCAAGCTTGAAATTGCTGAGCTGAAATCAAAGTACTGTATATGTCTAACTCTTTTCTTCTTTTCATGCGTTAGTTTTATTGTCAATTTGTCATATGTTTTGTTTATAAGAATTTGTGTTCCTTTAGGTTCTGTGAAAGGGCTCAGGCACTACTACATGCAGATCTCCACACTAGTTCTGTCATGGTTACTCGTGAATCAACTCAAGTTATTGATCCAGAATTTGCATTTTATGGACCAATGGGCTTTGATATTGGAGCATTCCTTGGAAACTTGATTTTGGCTTTCTTTTCTCAAGATGGACATGCTAATCAAGCAAATGATCGAAAAGTAGGTTATCTTTTCACAAAATATTGTCACAGTTAAATTGTAGTTGAATAGAATCTCTATTTGTTTTGTCATAGTTAAACAGCGACTAACCTAGTCCTCCCAAAACTTGAAACGACTCTGATTGTATCATACTAAATATGTTTAAAAAATACACATGTTTTTATGCAGACATATAAAGAGTGGATTCTTAAGACCATTGAAAACACTTGGAATCTTTTCTACTATAAATTCACTAAACTTTGGGATGAGCATAGAGATGGCGCTGGTGAGGCATATCTTCTTGAAATCTACAAAAATCCTGAGGTTCAGCTACTTGTACAGAAGAAATACATGACAGATTTGTTTCATGACAGTCTTGGATTCGCCGCTGCCAAAATGATAAGGTAAGCATATGAAATATCAATTACTCAAATCTAGAGAGCTCTTGTTTAATAAAATTTGTATCTTCCATTTTATTTATTTGGTTGTTATTAGGAGAATTGTTGGTGTGGCTCATGTTGAGGATTTTGAATCAATAACTGATGCTGCTAAACGGGCAACCTGCGAAAAGCAGGCACTTGATTTTGCTAAGATGCTTCTCAAAGAAAGAAGAAAATTTGAGGCCATTTCTGAAGTTGTCTCAGCAATTAGGAAAATTTAGTTTCCATGATTTTCTTTTTCTGTACCATATACCGAGTGTACAAAACTCGGCTCGTCCTGAATGAGTGATATCAGTCGGGCTCGGGTCAATCCCAAAGATAATTTAGGAATGAGGACCAACGATATCCCAAGATATGATCGGAAGAAGGAAGGGACGGGTTTGGCTTGAAATTTGTCCGGGCCAACCGTCCCGTCCTAATTGTTAGTAAGGACATGCTAATTTGTAAAACAAACCTGCTACTGTATTATGTCCAAATAATGATGCTGTTGCTGTCAAGTTTTCAAATAGAGAAACCTAATTTAGCTGCGCGTGTTCTCAAGGCTATCATATTTTACCTCTTAGAATTTGGCTGAATGCACACTAGTTCATCTTCTACTTTGAAACATTATGTATAGTGATTTTTATTGTTTCTTCTCCCTCTGCTATGGTACCAATACACTTTCTAATTAGTGTCCAAACCTCATCAAAATAATTGAATTTATTTTGGCTGATGCCCTTGATTTTTCTAGTGATTCTTCTAATGACTAGGGTTTCTTTTTGTTAACTTAGAGTGCAGAGGCACCGAAAACTGTTGTTTTATTTATTGATCCGTTAACATAACAAGAATTACAAACTGCTTAATAAAGTTGTAAGCCACTAACAATATATTCCTAAAATTCAGCACCCACTACTTACTCAATCAAATATCCCTAAAGACTAGGATAAATTCAAAACAAATCAGTTACCAACATAAATAATATAATAAATTAATATTTCTAATATTCTCCCTTAAACTGAAAGTTTTCAAACATTCAGTTTATCACACACTCCCAACAATGCTCTGAGCTTCTGAAATGCAGCCAACTTCAATGGATTGGTCATTATATCGGCAATTTGGTCTTCACTTCTGCAGTAGTGAAGTTCAATCACTCCATCCTTTGTGAGATTTCGGATAAAATGAAATTTCACGTCTATGTGTTTGCTTCTTCCATGTAAAACAGGATTATTAGACAGTTTGATAGCTGAACTGTTGTCGCAATAAATTGCAGTAGCATTAACTTCCCTTTCCTGCACAAAATTCAGCCCTTCAAGTATCCTCCTAAGCCAAATTGCTTGACAAGCACATGCTGTTGCAGCAACATATTCTGCTTCGGTAGTTGATAGGGTGACTTATCTCTTGTTTCTTTGATGACCATGAGATGGCTCCAGAACCCAGCATAAAGACATAGCCGGAAGTACTCTTTCTATCATCAATATCTCCAGCATAATCACTGAAGGTGAGATAATACTTAGAAGGGGGGTTGAATAAGTATGAAAGATTAAGACTTAAAAAATAATCACACAATTATTTTTATCCTGGTTCGTTTAAAACAACTACTCCAGTCCACCCTTCCTAGAGTGATTTGCCTTTCTCAACAAGGACTTAATCCACTATTTAATCAAACAGATTACAATAGTAACACCTAAGAACAACTGTTCTTAGTCTTCTCAAGAGCTACTGATTCCAACTGAATCCTCTTAAGGAAAACCTTTACAATCAATGTAAATCAAATACAAGAGTATTAATGCTTCTAAAAAGCTTTTATCACAACAGTGATTTTTCTCTTAAGTTTAAGTACAAGAAATTCTAAGAAGAATATGAAAGAATGAGAGCTTTGAATAATATGATTTCTTTTTAGCAAATTGTGTAACTGAAGAATTTGGTGGAGTCTTCCTTTTATAGGCAGCTGATCCAAGGAAGCTGAGCGTTGAAAAGAGAGTCCCAAAAATGTCTGAGCCTTTTTGTCTTCACATCAAGTGACCTTTCCTAGAAGTAGATAGCACAGAAAAATCCTTTTTGTCTGTGTTATTGTGTCTAGCACAAATGAGGAAAGAGATATTTGATTTACTCCAACGGATATAATCTTTGAATATTTCTTCTTCAGTTTTCAGCAAGTTCTTCAGAATCTGAATGAGTCAGAGTCTTCTAATGATGTTCAGAACCTTGCTGTATCAGAGTCTTCTACAGCATGTGTGCTTTCAGCGTGTTGATCATCAGAGCATATTTGACACAGAACTTTAGTACTTGGCAGCGTTAGTACTTTCAGCAACTTATGTAGAAATTATGCTTTGAGAAGCTCTTCATACAATATTCTTCTTTGCTTCAGATGCTTCTTACTAGCTTCAGAATCTTCTGGAGCTTCTTGCTTCAGATCCTTCTGGAGACTACGCTCAGGATCTTCTGTAAACAACAATCAGAATCTTCTAATTAGTGCATCTGGCGCTTCAGAGTCTAGATAACTTCTTGTATACAATTCAGATTTGCTTCTAGAGAGTTAATTTCATTTCAATCTGCAGTAAAACTTACAAGCAAATTTTAGAGTATATAATTCTTAAATATAAAATTTCCTAACAGTTATCATCAAAACAAAGAGTTATTATTAAGAACCAATCTGTGTTCTAACAATCTCCCCCTTTTTGATGATGACAAAAAGTATTAGAAATTTTATTTAACTGAACATATAGAATTATAACTCCCCCTGAGATGATGAATCTCCCCCTGAGTTAAATATGAATAAGGAATAGAAACTTCCCTTTTGTCTTGAGTAATCTTCAGAGTTAGATCTTGTTTGTTCTTATAACATTTGAAGGTCAGAGTGTCTTGCAGATTTAAGATTCAGAGTTTGATAAAAGACAAATGATCTGAGAGACTCAGAGTTTCTTTTATAGAATGTAGTTATCAAATGTTCTGAAATAGTCAGATTAAATGTTAGATAGAATAGATATGTCTGAAGTTTCATTCTGGTGAAGTTATATTAAACAGTTCAGATCTATATTTTCTCCCCCTTTTTTGTCATAAGCAAAAAGTAAAAACTTTTAAAGAGACAAATAAAAGGAAACAGTAAATAAGATAATTCAATGGAGAAAACTTTGATTCATTCAAAAGATAAGATCAAGAGTACATAGGCAAACATCAGAAGATATAGCAATAAGGTACAGATGCAAACAACGGATGCAAAAACATTAGAATGAAAAAAAATCTAAGAGTGTTTGGACAAAAGCATCTTCAATAGATCTGTAATCTCAGAGGATGATTGCTCTTGCTTGGACATCCACTTAGTCATATTTTCATTCTTTTCATCTTGCTTTGACATCCATTCTGTCATATCCTCAGACTTCTTATCCTGCTTAGCCATCCAGGATTTTATCTCTGACTGTCCAGCTTCCAGAGCAGCAATCTTATCTTCAAAATCTGGATGTTCTTTCTTTATCTCAGATGAAGAATTATGATGAGGTTCTGTAGCCTGAACAGAGTCAATTTCCATTGGTTCTGTAGATTCTGAGGAGGGGTCTACCAGAGTCATAGTCAATGCATTATCAGTAGATTCTGTTGATGGTGGAGGAGCATCTAAACGAAGCAGAGGTTCAGTTTTGTTGACAGTCCAGAATTGAGTCCTTGCAGCTCTGAGCTTTGCATCATCAGAACAGACGTTCTTCAGATTTGAAGCTACAGTGTTGAATCTGTTGATGAATCCGTTCCAGATGATGTCAGATTCTTTGGCATCCATTGTTTCTGAGCATTTCTTCTGAACAGTACCTAAATACATCTGTATTTCTTGCAAAAATGTTTGAAATAAATGATCAATATTAAGTCTGGGCTGTGGTCGTAACAAGGTTTCCAGATTTATAGGTTTAAGTTGGGGAGTTGGTGGAAAAAGTGATTTTTGGATGGAAATCAGAGGAGGAGGATAATATGGAATGAAGGGTATCTCAGGAGCTTTTTCTTTAGATCTGACTAAAGCATTAAGCAAATGAGGTTTTTCTCTTCTGTGAGGGGTAACAACATCAAAAGGTGCAATAGAGTAGGGTTTGAAAGCAGATTTTGGTGGTTCAACAGATGCAACAGTGTTATCAGATGCAATTTGCAGAGCTGAAACAACAGCTTTATCAGATTTTGCAGAGTGTGATATGGTTGCTAAAGGTTCTACATCTGTCATAGATTTTAAGTAATCAAGAATCACAGATGGAAGGATCATTGTGGATTTTGGTTTCAGAGGGTTGATGGGTTCAGAAGGTTCAACTCTGTCATAAAAATCTTTCAATTTGAAACCATAAGACAGATTATGAAAAAGAGAAGAAACTTGGGCACAGGATATAGAAGATGTTGGATTGGAATTTGGGATTAATATCTCAGATGATGGTGCAGGTGGAGGAATAGGATCTGGAATGAGAGTTTTAGAAGGTATGGTAGGTTCAGGTTGGTTTATCTCAGAGTATTTGTCAGATGGAGAGATTAGAAAATCTGGGTGGATTTCTGATTCTGAGGAGTTGGATGATGTGGTTGGTGTACAAGAGGTGGAAGATACTTGAAACACCGTTTTTAGTGGTGTGACATCAAGAACTTCTGTCTCAGGGATGTGAGGTTCAGAAGTATTGGTAGGTTCTGAAGGAATTTCAGATGGTTTGGATGGTTGTTCTGAGATGGGTGAATCAGATGAAACAGATATTGGTTCTGATGAAACTGGAGCAGAAGTTACTTTTGCAGGTTCAGAAGTAACAGGTGCAATGGGTTCAGAAGGTGGATTATCAGATGCTTTTTCTGGTTGAGAGTCTTTTTGTTGTTTCTCTGGTTGTTCAGATGATTGTTGTTGATCTGATGGTTGTTGTTCTGATGGTTGTTGTTCTGATGGTTGTTGTTCTGATGGTTGAGGTCGTGGAACAAAGTGTTTGATATGAATTTTGGGTTGAGATGGTTTTGGTACAGAAACTGTTGGTGTTGTTGTTTGAGTTGGAATAGGTGATTGTTTTTATGGAGAAACAGAACTGGGAGCAGTAACAGAAGTGGTTTGTGTAGAAGGTGGTTTTGGTACAGACTTAACATTAGAATCATTAATAACAAGTTTTGCAGAAGATACAGAAGATTTAATACCTTTTACTTTGATCCTCTTGGCAGGTACAGAAGCAGCTTCTTCAGATTCTTTTCTCTTCAAGAGCTTCTTGGGCTTCTCAGCTATCTTGACCTTCTTCTGAGCAGGTGCAGA